GTTGATAAATTGGAAGATTTTTTAAAATTTAGAATAGATTACTTATAAAATTGAGCTAGGGAAGATTTCTTAACCAAAAAAGAAATAAATATATATTAAAACAAAGCATCTGCTTATAAAGAACACCATGGAAAGTAAGGAGAGAAACAGAAACCAAACTGTATCCTGGACACATTGTATAAATAAGGGGGAAAAAGTATTTATATTAAGAAGGTATCAGTTATTTGGACATTAGCAAGTGATAACTGAAGTCCCCAAGGAGTGAGAGAAGTATTACACCCCACCTTGAAGCAGGAACCAGTAAAATGTTGAAGACAGAAAAAAATGCAAGGAATCTAGAAAACACAAAGCTATGACAAAAGTCAAGGAAATTAAAAAAAAAAAAAAAGTATGTCTTAAAATGTCACATAGCCCCTGAAGCAGTAGGCCGCTGTTAATTGTGTGCTGCTGGCTAGACACAGTTGATTTTTACTTTTAAACCTGTTAAACTTTTAATGTGATTGATATATATTCTCTGCTATTTAAACTTGTCTTTATATTTTAAAAAAATTTGTTTTGGTTTTCTATCACTATTAGTTTTCATGATGTACCGTGGGCAGGACAGTTAAAGAATCACTCCAAATTATCTTTTCTGATAACACTGGGTGAGACCCACTAGCATGCTGTGGAAACTAAACCCTGTATCTTCAAGGGCAGTTAAGCTTTGCTTTGACCTTTGGGGAAGTAAAATCTGAGGTTCCTCGAGGTGTTAGGACAGCAATAATGTCAATCAATCTCAGTATGATTTGGTCTGGCATTCTGGGAAGCTTGATGGTGAGGCAGTGAACCTTTGTATGTGGCCAAGGGTGGGGTGGGGGAGGGACTCTCCAAGGTGGTCTCCTCCTCCAAGTTCCTTTAGAAGTCACCTTGCCAGGGTGTAATACAATGTAACTCCATTCCGTGCATTTCCATTTAAATTGTTCTGCTCATAGGGTGTACCTCCAGTCCTCTCTGCAGCCAGGAAGGTGGGCCGCAATATTTGTGAACCCTATTATGTGTGACCCACTTTAACAATGGTTTAAGAATACAGTTGATGTGCTGTCACTCAACAGGCCATTACCTTGTTGACAGACTATTTTGTTCATTAAATGCAATGAGACTTTAAAATTACATCATTTCACTGGGACTTTAAATCTCAAAAAAAAAAAAAAAAAAGTCATTTTAGCCTGAAGTATTAACAGTGTTCTTTGAAGTTACTTCATTTGGGACTACAAAGGTTTTGAATTTTCTTTTGCTGCTTGGAGTAATTTTTTTTTTTTTTTTTCTTTCCAGGATTTTTGAGAAACATTTCCTTGCATCTGATCTTCGTCAAGTGACCTTGACCACCCTCAGGAGATGTTTTTCCTTAATGTCACTTTGTTCAGTCCCAGTTTTTACCTTGACTTCAATTGCATAACCACTTAGCTGAGCAGCTGGGGGTGACTGGCTTTTCCCTATCATTCCTGCATGTTTGCGGGAGCTGATTACTGAACTCGTATTTAATCTCTACTGCCAGTGAAATCTTATTTTTCTAATTGGCTTTGCCTCTTATTGGAAGTGTAATTACAGCGACATTAGTCAGATAGAAAAGGAGGGTGTCATTTGATGCATTCAGGTTAGTGAGAGCTGTGGGTGCTCCCTGCTCTTCTCTCTAGACAGCTAAATCTTCACTAATTTTCAGATCAGGTTTGGGGGAGCTGGGATATGTTTTCAGATTTTAACTGCTGCTTTTTTATGCTGGTATACAAATGTGGGCACTTGTATACAACAGAAAACAATAAATCTTTTATATTCTTATAAACACTTCTAAATAAATTTTGAACTACTGCATAAATGGTTTGTTCTTGTAGTTAATGAAAAGTTGTGTTTTGCTCTCTCCGGGGTCTCATTTTTATAGTCTCCTTTCCAGTCGGTAGATCACATGTAGTACTGTAATCACTGTTGAATCTGGCTGTGGTTTTGATTGACTAATATTGTTCCTCTGGGTTTCAGAGTAAGACAGTTAATTTCCTAAAAAGACCGTTTTTTCTATAAAAATCAACTAGAAGCAAATGTAAATACCACATGTGGTACATAGGTGTTTTGGAAACTTGTCTTTCTCTATGCAACCTATTCCCTATTTTAATTTGGTAGACTTTTCTATTCTACTTTTATGACCTAGAACCAATTCTGGACCTTAGAGTGGAAAAATTTGTTTTTCATGACACATACACTATTCTATAGGTAAAAGATTGCATTCAGTCTCAGGATAGAAATTGGAAGAATGAATACATTTTTCAGGTGGACAACTAATTATACCTTGAAGCATAAAAAGAGCTTCTGTGTTAACCAATTGCTCTGTTGAAATTAACTTTCCAAATCTTTGTATTCAGGGAACAATGGGACTTCAGATTCTTGGACCAGACTGGGGTGGGGGTTCACAGAAGCAGGGAGAGGCTATAGTAAAGAAAGGGCTACACTAGATAGGGGTGGTGGCTGAGAGCAGATGGTGCTCAGCTAGTTACTCTGGAGTAAATAATGGGTAATACTCTTGGTTTCCCTCTTTTCTGCCAGCTGAAGCTGTCTCAGTGCTGCTTACACTAAAATAAAAATGCTTGGTCCATTTGAAATCCTTGTCATTGCTTCATAGGGAGAAACCAAAGTCCCTCAGTCTGGGTGGGAAACACTGCCAACTGATTGAAAATGTGTGAGTGTAGCAGGCCATTTTTACTGCTGCAGCACAAAGCCATTTCATGCTACAGCTGCAGCCTGGCCACTTCAGAGTCCACAGCCATCCTCTGAGTTTTGTGTCCTGGCAAGACATTTCTCAGTCACTACTCTTTGCTGTGCAATGTGGAGTCAACAAAGGGGAACAGGATGTTGTCCCCCCCCCCCACTTTGGGACCTCTCAGGAAAATGGGAATCAATTTCTCCTTCACTGCCTCCTTCTCTGTCCTACATTCCCAAAGATTTTGTTCAGCTATCGGGCTTCATGAAAAAGAATCACAGAAGCACAGAAAGTTATGAGTTTATGGCCATATTTATCCAGAACATGTGCGGGGCTATAGACAGCTCCCTTGAACACTTCTCTATCTGGCAGAAGTAGCCAGAAAAGAAGCAAGAGTTGCCCTTACGGTTTTCAGATTTAATCTGCCCTGTGATCAAATTTGGGTAACTCTGGATAGGAACCCCAAAGCTGAAGTGGCCATTTCTATGCTTTTCAAATGCTATTTCTGAAAAAGAAAAATGAGAAATTGATATAAAAATGTATAACAGTTACTTTAGACATACCATTGAGTGTCTAAAAGGAAATACAAGTGATTTTTCAGGTTAACTTTTGAGTTAATCAGTTAAAATTTTGGAATGCATTATTGTACATACTGAACCCCTGTGATAAAAATCCTTACAGACACTTGCCTAATGATTGGATGAGGACATTTTGAATTAGAATTGCTGGTTTAGGGGAGTTCACATTTATAGGGGCTGATAGTTATATATTGTTAAAATTATTTCCTCCCAAAATGACACCAGTATTTCCAGCAGAATCATGCCTACTATCCTTTCAAATGCTATTTGTGATTTTAAATCTTTACTCATATGCTGAATGAAAATGTCATTGACAAGGTTCAACTGCTTTTGTTCTATAGGTTCACTGGTCTTCATTTTCTGTGTGTAGGGAAGCCTCTCATCTGTTAATATATGTTGCAAGTATTTCATTTTAATTTTTATTTTTTAATACTTCTTTATTTATGCGTACAAGAACTGGGTACAGCCCAGAGATGTGGGGGTGAGAGGATACACCAGAGAGTGAGGGAGAGATCAGGCAGATAGAAATACACTGCTGAGGGGAGCAGTAGGTGGGACAGAGGTCGGCTGTGCCATGGTCAGGGACTGAACTTGTGCTTCAATGGCTCAGTGGCTGTGCATAGCTTCATACTGCTGTGATTTAATCCCTGGCCACCAGGAAGGGCACTTTTTTTTTTTAAATTGAATATTTAATTTTGAAGTTTTCAATATTTCTGTATTTGAATCAATCTTTTTTCATTGCGATTTCTTCTTTGGAAAGAACAATTATTTTGACAAACTTCAAAATGTTTGTCTCCTCCCTTCACGGGGGTAGGGGGCATGTCTAAAAAACAGGGAGGGAGTCCCCTAATGTGAAGCGTTATCAGCTACACAGTTCTTCCTACACATAGCACAGACCTAAGCCCCCACATTTTTAAATGTATTTTTTGCACTAGAGAAATATTTCTAAACATTTGGTGGTTCCCAAACATTTTGTTTAGGGTGGGGGGGGCAGGCACTGGATTTTTTTCATCTTTATAAAAAAAATTATAAAAAGCCTACCTGCTTAGTTTTAACTTGAAAAATCAGTTGTCTTTCAGAAAGTATCTTTAGGAAATTACATTGTAGCTAGAGTAAATGTAGATATACTCCCTCCAAACTGAAAACACTTGACACTTGTAAAAATAAAAACTTCCAATTAAAATTCAAAGTTGATAACTCTAGCTAAAAAATTGTAATTAGCGTTGGGAAACATAACCATAGAAACAGTTTAATTTTGCAAGTTTAATTTTGACTTCCAGGATAGTAGGCCGATGAGGCAAGAGTAGCTGGCTTTTCCTATGAAGGAGTGTTTAGAGGTGTGGCGATGGCAGAAGGGGTAGCAGGCAGTGTGTTAGAAAATTAAAAGGTGGAAGAAATTGCAAAAAGCCTATAGGTTTCTGGTTTTTTAAACTTCATGAACGGGTGCACATGGCAGTAGCTCCGTGCCAACGTGCATGTAATAAGATCGGTGTAATGCATAATAAATTTACATGAGGAGGGAAACAAAAATAGACCTTTCAATTCCCGTAAGGATTTCAGGGAATAAATACGCATCAGGCATTTCTTCCAGGAAGAGACTGGGATTCTTTTCTTTGAAAATTCCATTGTTTAATAATGCATTTTAGAAAGAACCAGAGAGGAACTCTCTCCCCGCCCCCACCAACCCACAGAATTATATACTCAAAAGTAAAGTTTTTAAAAGGCACATAAAGGTAAATGGAGGAATATTTCACTGCATTTACTGCCATGCTGTTGTGCCATCTGCTGGGGCAAGGAGGCAGGCAGACTTGCATGGCGACACTCGACACTCGCAGCCCTAGAGAGCTGCCGCTCAGCCCCCCCACGCTGGCCATTCTTGTTCTTGGCTGCTTGCCGGTTCTCAGAGCCTCCTGCCCTGTTCCCACTGCAACACTGCCCACAGGAACAGCAGGATTTGCTCAGTCAGAGCAGGCATTTTACTTTGCACAGAATCTCCCCTAAATGGCCAACACTGGATTATGAACTGGCTAGACATTTTAATTTTCTACTTTAGAAATCATCATTGTGCTGCAAAGGAGCAGGAATTGTACTTTAGTAAGGAGAAGCAAGAGCAGGTAAGAGGAATATTTGAAAACTGACATGAATTGGTGAGTATCAAAAAACAGTTTAAATGCAGTATTTGTATTGTAGCAGGCTATGACACCAGGAGGAAGCTAAGTAAGTGCTGTAGTTAAGTTCAAGGAACAGAGTCAGGACAGACAAGGTTATGTGATCACAGCACATAATCTGCACATCTCCCTGGATTAACATTTGTTTTTTGCTGATGCTATATTTCCAGCACAGATCAACAGGAGGTTCTGCTCAGTTTAGTCACACAAACTGCCTAACTGGTGAAGGCTCCTTTTTCTCTCGTTTCCCCTGCAGCAAGAGGAGGCGGTGGTGGTAATATCTTATACTGGTAATTAAATGCTTTCTCCAGAAAACAGCAATTGCTACTTCTGCTCATATTTCACTGGCAGAACAGATCACGTGGTCACCCCTAACTATTTTGGGAGTGTAGGAGGAAGAAAACTAGAACACTTATAAATGCTAACTGGTACTCAAGACTATCCAAGTAAATGTACTAGAAGGTTGAAGAAGCTAGGCGCAGGCACATGAAAGCTTAAAATAAAAGAAACCTATAATGCAGACACAATAGCAGAAACTCAGTTGAGTTCCACATTTATTAATGAGCTATTATATGCCAGGCACTGTGTTAAGCATGGGCACTATAAAGATGTGCAAACTAGCTGGGAAAGAGCTGTTAAGCTTGGGTAGATGCACCAGACCACACACTCCCTGCTAGGAGAAACAAGAGCTGAACTATGCAAAGCAACATGGCTAGCGATCTAAGACAGACACACCCTAGAGGGCTTTGTGTATCATATCAGGTAACTTTTGAAGCATTGTGAGCATTGGTTGATATTTGAGGGGGGCAAGACCAGACACAGAGCAATCATTTAGGTAACTGTAATCCAAGTCACCCATGATTAGAGTTCTAGAAATTTGGGTAAGGAAGGAATT